TGCTGACGGACCTGAGGTCACCCGGCTTCAACGCTGAGAGACCAACTGGGGGAGCTGGCCTGGGGGGACATATCTGCCTTGCTGTGCCCTGGGGAAAGAACCCAGGAGTCCTGGCTCCCAGCCCCTCCCCACTCTAATCCACTAGACCCCACTTCCCCACCCCCCGAGCCGTGTATGGGGCCTGTCAGGGCATAGAGCTCTCACCCGCTCATTAGTGAGTTACCCAGGGAGGTCCTGGCAGCGCAAATGCTGGAGGACAGTTTAAGCAGCGGGATTGGCTGGCACCGGCAGGGGGCGTCAGGAATGAGCACAGACCCAAGCCCCTGCTGTGTGAAATCCTGACCCGATTAGGGCCCAGCTGGGGTGGTGTCATCTTGCTGTCACCGGCTGGCAATGTGCTGTTTAGCCTGCTCCCTTCAAGTGCTCCGGGGTCGCTCTGGCCTCTCTCACCAGGCTCTGACATCTGCCTTGTGCCCCACAATGACATGGAAGAAGCACCAGGGCTGGGTGTTCCTGCTGAAATGATCAGCAGTGACACAGTTAACATGGCCATCGTTAGTTTCCAGTGGTAACATTATATTGCTACGAAAGACACAACTCACACTGGGGTCAGGCTCTCTGCAGACACAGGCAGCAAACCAGGTGTATTCAGGTCACATTGGGAAGGTTTTGTAGAGGCCCAGGGCCAGATTCTCACTGACACTGGGGCCCTGTTTGGCCTGGAAGTGGGTGAAAATATAACGTGGACCTCTTTGTACTTCCCAAGGTCTGTAAAAGGGGTCCTAGCACCAGTGAGAATCCAGCCCTGCCCCACAAGCCCTTGTGACTGCAAAGAAAAGTTCCAAATGTGACCTCTTCCGGGCAGGGTTTTCTGCCTGAATGTGCAGAGAGCCTGAGCCGAAAGCCCTGCGAGTGGCATGAACTGCCCTGTTTCTAGTGACCGTCTGCTAATGCTGAAACCCAATGACAACGTGATTACCTGTTTTGCTGATCGTTCCAGCTATGGGTTGGCCTGGGTGTAGTGCCTGAGGTTGGAGTCACTCATTGCTGGGCGGAAGTGGGATAAACGCTCCCTTTGCGTGCGCCTCTGGGGCGGAGCACTTTGGACACCAGCTGTTCACACACAGCCCGCTCTTCCTGCAGGGCTCTCTGCCGCTCCCTCTCTTTAGCCCGTGGCCATGGAGGAGCCCATGGTCCTGGTGGCGAACGGCGCCGACGGGGAGCTGGAGGTGAACCCCGCGGCGCTGGAGATCCTGCGTGGCGTGGCCCAGCTCGTGGTGGTGGTGGCCATCGTGGGGCTGTACCACACTGGCAAGTCTTATCTCATGAACTCCTTGGCCGGGAAGCAGAGAGGTTTCCCAGTCCCTCTTCCCGTTGGCCCCGGGCTGGAGCCGGGAACGAGGGGGCAGCTGCGCCCGGGCGCTGGGTCTCTCTCTCGTCTCCTCTCTCCCCAGGGTTCTCGCTGGGCGCCACCATCCAGTCGCACACCAAGGGCATCTGGATGTGGTGCCTGCCTGTCACGGAGTCCCCGGGCGATGCTCTGGAACTGCTCCCTCCGGAGCCGGGCAGGACTCTGGGGCAGTCTCCTCTCGGGGAGCAGCCTGTCTGCAGGACACACAGCTCACCTGGCTCCACCTTCCTGGGTCTGACCTCGGAGCATTCAGCCTCCTCTGCCCCTCCCTGCGCTTCCCACAGCCAGTCCACCCAGGCGGGGTCCTGGGGAAGCCAGAGGGTCCTGCCCCCCAACTCCGCAGTCAGACGGGACTCTCAGCCAGCCAGTAAAACAGGAGGTTTATTAAACGACAGGAACATGGTCTAAAACAGAGCTTGTAGGTGCAGAGAACAGGACCCCTCAGCTGGGTCCATTTTGGGGGGGGGGGGCAGTGAGCCAGACAACCACGTCTGCCCTTCACTCCATGTCCCAGCCAGCCCCAAACTGAAACTCCCTCCAGCCCCCCCTCCTCTGGGCTTTGTCCCTTTCCCCGGCCAGGAGGTCACCGGATTCCTTTGTTCTCCAACCCTTTAGCTCTCACCTTGCAGGGGGAAAGGGCCCAGGCCATCAGTTGCCGGGAAACAGGGTGTCAGCCATTCTCTGTGTCCAGACCCCTGCCCACACCTGCCCTCTAGGGCTCTGCAACGATCATACACCCTTACCCCACCCCCTAGAGACTTAAGAACTGCCTAGGGGAAACTGAGGCACCCCCACACTATTCAGAGGAAACATTAAGAACAGTCCCACTTCATCACACTGCCCCACCCCTGCCGTGCCAGCCACACCCTGGTGCTGCTGGACACCGAGGGGCTGGGCGAGTGGGGGGTGTGACGATGTGACGCAGCAAAGAGTGGGGAGTGTTGACCTGGGACTGTGCCCTGGGGAGGGGAGACCTGAGAGCCTGTCACCTGAGCCGGGAGGGGGCGGGGGGAGGTGACACCTCTGCCCAGGAATGTGAAGACAGCTGCAGGAGGGGGCCTGCTGGGGGGGTTTAGTTTCAGTTTGGGGCTGGGTGGAGGAACGCAGGGAACCCCAGGGCTAGGGTCTGAGCTCCCTGCCCCCCAGAAGGACTTGACTGAGGGGTCCTGGGTGTACCCACAAGCTCTGTTTTGGACTGTGTTCCTGTGGTGCAATAAACCTTCCGTTTTACTGGCTGGCTGAGAGTCTCAGTGAATCCCAGGGAGAGGGGTGCAGGGCCTGGACTCCCCCACACTCCGTGACAGGGGGCGGTGGGAGGGAGCTGGGGGAAGGGGCCGTGCAGCCCTTGCCCGGGGAGAAGATTCTGAGACCCCAGGGCCAGAGGGACGCTGTGACCATCTAGCCTGGCCCCAGGGTTGGTCTAAGGGGTGGGTGGCTGAGCACCAGCCTGGAGTGCGGTATTCAAGGGGGCCCCATGCAAGTACCTCCCACCCAGTTCTGCTGTCTGGCTGCACGTATCATTTTGGTATTTAAAGTTATAGGTATTGACTCTGTACCCATTTCAAATGTTGGCTCTGGGGGTAATGCCCAGGAATTGATCAGCCAGATAGGCCATGTAAGATATCTGCAAAAATGTTATAATTTGCCAGATAAGATCATCTTGTTTATATGTTTGTATCACCTTTGTATGATGAATTATAGATCTGTCTGTATGTCTGAATTTCAAACCTGTGCTCTGCTTCCGGGGGACACCCCAGCCAAGTTGGGGTCAGCTCTGCCTAGCCTGCTGGGTGGCCCATTAAGGACGCTCAGCGACACAACTGACCCACTGAGAGAAGGCAGAGACGCCTGGGGACTCAGCCAGGTGTGCAGGGCCCTGCCTAGGGACAGAGCTCTGAGCTGTTCCCAGGCCATGGGATGGGCAGCTTGTCCTTGGGACACAGAAAGCAGAGACCACACGGCAAGAGACTATAAAAGGCAGCTGCTGCTCCTCCATCTGGTCTTCAGTCCTGCCTCTGGCCTCTGGAGGGACTTTGCTACAAACTGAAGCTCTGAACGAAGGACTGAAGGACCCGTCCCAGCTGGGGATGTTCTCCAGAGACAGGATTTGAACCTGCCGTTTATTCCATCACTGCGACAAGCCTGAACCAAGAACTTGGCCATGACTGGATGGAATTGATTCCATTGAACCTGTTCCAGCTCTCATCTCTATTTCTTTCTTTTTGTGAATAAATCTTTAGATTTTAGACTCTAGGGGATTGGCGACAGCATGATTGGTGGGTAGGATCTGACTTGTCTATTGACCTGGGGCTGGGGCGTGGTCCTTTGGGATCGAGGGAACCTTTGTTCTGTTCCCGGGGCATTGGTACCGTGGAGCCGGGGGGGTAACACTGCAGGGGCCCAGCCTGGGGCAGGAGAAGGGATTGCTGGCAGCCGGTGATGCTGGTTTGTCATTTCTGTCCCGCAGCGTCTCTGACCCTGAGCGTGTCCCTCCCCCGCTGGGGGCTCTCAGCAGCGACGGGCCCCCAGAGTCAAACTCCTCCAGCCGGCCTGGGCAGGGGCTGTGAAGCCTGGATTAACCCTCAGTTCCCAGGCAGGGCAGTTGAGCACGCACCAGCAGCCCCCCCATCAGTTTCCCCCCCCCATGGCTCCTGCCCGCCTGTGGAGCCCGCCAATCACCGCCTCCCCCTCCTTTCCCGCACCTCCTGCCCGGCGTTTCAGTTTGGGGCTGGGTGGAGGAACGCAGGGAACCCCAGGGCTGGGGTCTGAGCTCCCTGCCCCCCAGAAGGACTTGACTGAGGGGTCCTGGGTGTACCCACAAGCTCTGTTTTGGACTGTGTTCCTGTGGTCCAATAAACCTTCCGTTTTACTGGCTGGCTGAGAGTCTCAGGGAATCCCAGGAAGAGGGGTGCAGGGCCTGGACTCCCCCACACTCCGTGACACTGACCCTCTCTGCCCTGCTGTGCCCCCATTTTCCCCTGCCCCTTACTCCAGGGACACCCTCCCCCCCCAGCTCTGTCCTGATTTCCCCAGCCTCTCGCTTCAGGGACTGATCGCTGCCATGCCCCCTTGTGCCCCGATTCGGCAGCCTCTGGATCAGCTCCTCCCAGCCAGGCAGGTGAGTCCTGGGGGTGGGGGTCCAGAGCAAGCAATGGAGCGGGGCGGACAGGTGGGATGGGGGGGCGGGGCCTTGGGGGAAGGTGCGGCCTCAGAGAAGGGGCGGGGCCGGGCTGTTCAGTTTTCAGGGATTAGCAAATTGGCAACCCTAGATGGGGTTAAACCCCCCACGTGCTACCCAAGCCCCAGAGTCCAGCACGGAGCTGCCTCCCCTCTGGGTGCTGGGAGGGGCGCAGGGGGCTGTTCTGGGTTGACCCCCAGCCAGCCAGCACGGGACGGGACGGGGGCTGAGCCCCATCACCATTCCTGGGGGGACCCAGCCCCCTCCGACCCCAGGGGATTCACCCCCAGCCCAGCGGGGAGGGGGTTATGGGTTGGGGGGCCTGGGCCCTTCCCCTGGCTGATCCGGCTTGGTGGGTGTCTGCGTGTGACGGGATCAGTAACTGTAAACTCTTATGTCTGCCGTTTTGCCGAGTGTTACAAAAAGTGAGCGAAAAGGAAAGTGAAAGGGAATTCGCTGGGAGCCCTGCCAGCCCCGGAGAAGGAGACAGGGAAGCTGGGGGACAGAGGGCAGGGACCATGGGGCTGGGGGGTCTCCTCCTCCCCCTCCTCTTCCTCGGGGTGGCCGGTAAGTCCAGACCCTCTGGTGTCTCTGGGGGGAGGGCAGAGCAGGGCCCCGGGGCTCCCCGACAGAGTAAAGTCCCGGGGATGGGCCCTGGGTACAGGTGGGTCAGTCACTGCCCAGCTCTGCCCAGCCTCAGCTGCCAAGTCTGCCTGGAGCCCGTGTGAATGCCCCAGGGTGTGACAGGAGCCGGGGGAGGGATGGGGGAGCCGCGGGGGATCCCGGGGGCAGGAGAGGGGGGTCGGGGTCTGAGCGAAGGTACGGGTACACTGCGTTCTCACACAGGGCACTGGGAACCTGCTGCCCCCCAATATCTTGGTGTCTCTCCAGGCACAACCTCTCAGCGGTGACCCGGCCAGTCACCTCCTCACCTTGCCCTGGGGACAGGAGCTTGGGAACAGCCAGGCCAGAGCATCCCAGCGCCCCTCTCGTCTGGGTCCTGCCTCCCACAGCAGCTGGCCCCCGACATTGGGACAGGAACATCCATTGACTGACCTGCCCCTAGACGAACCCCCCCCCCCCCGCCCCATGACGGCTCCGTTTGGGGCTGGCTCAGGCTCAGAAGGAAGCGGGGGGGTTAGAGCCCTTCTGCCGTAGCCCAGCAGGGAGTGCGCGTGTAGACAGGGGGGTGTTTATTACGCTGTATCGTCTAACCCAGCTCCGAGCCAGCTCTGCCCCAGGACTGTGCCCCCAGTGGGGTGAGCCAGGCTCGTGCAGACAGGGCCACGGAGATCGCTCGAGGGGCGTGAACAGGGCCGGAGCGAATGTGGGAAGAAGCCCAGAGCTATTTGCAAAACCTCCCTTTGACGCCTTGTCCTGGCTCTGAGGGAGCCCGTGTGGGACGGGTTGGGAAGGAGAACGGGGGGGCAGGTGCCTAGTCACTGACACACCCAGGGGAGCCAGAGCACAGCCGGCACCTGTCCCAGGTACCCCACCACCCCCTCTTCCCTGCGGGACCAGATCCCCTCACTGGCTCATCCATCCCCAGGCAGCGACCTCCCCCCGGCACAGCCCAGCCCTGCCCAGAGCCCCAGAGCGTGATTTTCTCTTTCCCTGTGCAGGTTCCCGGCTGCAGATAGTCACAGATCCCTCCTCCCGGGCCCTGCTGGGCTCTGGGGCGCTGCTGAAATGTCGGTTCGACGTCGGGGGGCCAGTCGATCTGCGCTCCCTGCGGGTTCAGTGGTTTCTGTTTGAGGAGAGGATCGCGCAGTACGGCCAGGGCAGGGGACAATCCCAGCCCGGAGCGAGCGTGTCGGAGCAGGAGTTGGAGACGGGGGACGCCTCCCTGTCGCTCTCCAGGGTGACGGTGTCGGATGAGGGGCCGTATAAATGTGTGGTTGGTTACGGTACGGAGCAGCTGCAGGGAGAGACGACCCTCCGTGTGCTCGGTAAGGACAGGAGAAGAGCTCGGACGTTCCCCGGCTGGGAACTCGGGACTGGCTGTTCCTGCTTTGGTCCCACAGTCCCGCGGGTGGGAGGAGCGGGTGGGGTGAGGACTCGTCTACACAGGGTTGCTCTGGTTTAATGAAAGGTGTGAATTGAAACCGAGTTCAGTAACCCAACACCAGCCCCCCAGTGCGGGCTGTGACCGGTGTCCAGCCGTTCAGGGCACGCTGAGAAGCGTCAGGTTTAAGGGAAGGTGAAACAGCGAAAGCTAAACCCGCGACAGGGTGTGTGTAGACGGGCAGGCGCGGGTGTGAACCCTGGCCCGGGCAGAGAGAGGCAGGGGTGGATTTCAGACACAGCCGGCTCTCCCACCGGCCGGCGTGACTGTGACGCTGGCAGACCAGGGGCCAGCTCGTGCCAGGTCCCCGTGTCTCAGCTGAACGCTGGCAGAGACGGCGCTGGAATCGGCCTGGCTCACCTGTGGGGTGATATCGGCAGGACAGTGAGTCCAGACCGGTCAGCAGCTGGGTCACCACCTGCCCTGCACCCTGGGGTGCCTCCCAGCGCTTCCTGCTGCAGCTCCCACCCCGGGCTCCTGAGAACCAGACCCACAGCCTGCAGGTCCCACCCTGAGTGTCTGTGTATAGCCACAGCCCTGGGCCAGCAGCTCTGACCCCGCAGCCTGTCAGCAAAGCCCAGCCACGCTCTGGCTGCCTCCAGACGTGGTCACTTACTTACAACATGCTCTCCATCCCCGATGTTCCCCCAGTAGTCTGTGTCCTGCACTGTCCAGCCCTCTCCTGGGCAGCCCCGACAGCTTAGGTCCGTCGCCCCTCGACAGGGACCGAGCTACAGCAGTCTGCTGCCGTACAGGGAGTTACCCCAACCATTCCCAACACTGGATTCATTTTAAATAGAGAGTAACCAAGATTATTTAACGACAACGAGAGAGATTTTAAGTGAGTACAAGTCTGAGGTGCTAAAGTCAGAAATGGCGACAAGAGAAATAAAGATAAAACGTTTTCTGAACGTAACAAACTAGACTTGGTTCAAGGTGAGGTTCTTCCCATGGGTTCCCCGTAACACTGCTGCCCAAATTCCCAGGCCAGGATCTGCTCCCAATATCTGGAGGCTGTTTCTTTTGTCTGCTTAGGTCAGACAGAGAGAGCTGGGTCGGGAACGAGAGCTTGGGGTGTTTGTGCCCCTCACGTGTATAGTTCAGTCACCCTTTGAGAGGCACTTCCCTGAGGGTCACCCCTGGTTAACGTTCAGACAGTAAAGAAGGTGACGTGTCTGGTGGGGAGGGGGGTGCATGTTGTTTCTTCTTACCTCTGTTTGCAGGTTTTCCCTTGTCTCCCGTCTTCCCCCCTCTCGCTGTCTGAGGTCCCTGTTTAGACCTTATATGTAAATGGAGGTAAACACACGTTCCTTTGTTAAAGACCTGCCTGTCCAGTCCTGTCTCATCGGGGCTACGTGGGCTGGAACGTGGCAACCAGCCTTATTTGGGGGATCCAGAACTTTGCATGTAATGTTGCTACACACATTTCACCAGGATATTATTGACCAGTGAGTTCTTAGTTTCCATATGACCTCCGCCCAGGCATATCCTGGACAAAGATTATTGCAGTGGGTCTGGGGTGTGAATACAGGGGTGCTTTCCGTCACCGATCGGTATTAGAAATCTCAGGAAGTGTTTGGTGTTTGGACTCTGTCCCATGCTTGAATCATAGAATCATAGAATCATAGAATATCAGGGTTGGAAGGGACCTCAGGAGGTCATCTAGTCCAACCCCCTGCTCGAAGCAGGACCAACCCCAAGTAAATCATCCCAGCCAGGGCTTTCTCAAGCCTGATCTCAAAAACCTCTAAGGAAGGAGATTCCACCACCTCCCTAGGCAACGCATTCCAGTGCTTCACCACCCTCCTAGTGAAATAGTGTTTCCTAATATCCAACCTAAACCTCCCCCACTGCAACTTGAGACCATTACTCCTTGTCCTGTCCTCTTCTACCACTGAGAATAGTCTAGAACCATCCTCTCTGGAACCATCTCTCAGGTAGTTGAAAGCAGCTATCAAATCCCCCCTCATTCTTCTCTTCTGCAGACTAAACAATCCCAGCTCCCTCAGCCTCTCCTCATAAGTCATGTGTTCCAGACCCCTAATCATTTTTGTTGCCCTTCGCTGGACTCTCTCCAATTTATCCACATCCTTCTTGTAGTGTGGGGCCCAAAACTGGACACAGTACTCCAGAGGAGGCCTCACCAATGTCAAATAGAGGGGGACGATCACGTCCCTCGATCTGCTCGCTATGCCCCTACTTATACATCCCAAAATGCCATTGGCCTTCTTGGCAACAAGGGCACACTGCTGACTCATATCCAGCTTCTCGTCCACTGTCACCCTTAGGTCCTTTTCCGCAGAACTGCTGCCGAGCCATTCGGTCCCTAGTCTGTAGCTGTGCATTGGGTTCTTCCATCCTAAGGGCAGGACCCTGTACTTATCCTTATTGAACCTCATCAGATTTCTTTTGGCCCAATCCTCCAATTTGTCTAGGTCCCTCTGTATCCTATCCCTGCCGTCCAGCGTATCAACCACTCCTCCCAGTTTAGTATCATCCGCAAATTTGCTGAGAGTGCAATCCACACCATCCTCCAGATCATTTATGAAGATATTGAACAAAACCGGCCCCAGGACCAACCCCTGGGGCACTCCACTTGACACCGGCTGCCAACTAGACATGGAGCCATTGATCACTACCCGTTGAGCCCGACAATCTAGCCAACTTTCTACGCACTTTATAGTGCATTCATCCAGCCCATACTTCTTTAACTTGCTGACAAGAATACTGTGGGAGCTTGTGAGTTGCCGTCTGCATTAATCTCACATGGAAGTGCTGTATCCCGTATTGTGATGTGACGCTGAAGTGGGTCCAGTGTGAGTCTCTGTGGCCGTAGGAGTCGCCGGAGAGGGACGTTAGTGGGAAGAGCTGCTTTTACACAGACATTGTCATGGCCCTTCTGAAAGAGGAGACCCATCGATACCAGACAGGACAGGGTTGGATCTCGCAGCTGGAAACTCCTTACACCTGGACTGAGAAACCATCCACAAAAGGACTAACGACTCTTTCTGTGGTTCTGCTCCCCGCCCCGTGAAGATGGGTCATGCACGTGGACTCCTCCCATCAGCGGAGTTTGCAGCTCAGAGCACATGGTCGGAGGGGGATAAAACCCCCCAGACTAAAGGAACTAAGGCCTGGGCTACACTGAAACGTTAGACTGACCCAGCTGTGTCACTCGGGGTGTGAGAAATAATGCCCGGTGCAGACAGCGCTAGGTCGATGGACAAATTCTTCTGTCCACGTAGCGACCACCTCTAGGGGAGGTGGGTTAACTACAGCGATGGGAGAACCCCTCCTGTCACCACAGGCAGTGTCCACATTACAGAGCAACCGCGGAGCTGCAGGGGGGCTCTCGGCGCTGGGCGTGCGGCAGGTCAGACTAGAGGATCATAATGGTCCCTTCTGGCCACAAAATCTATGAATCCTGCCTCCGGATGTAATTCCTCTAGGGGGGATCCAGCTGCCCAAAGTGCACCCAGACAGCTGAGTGCCGGGTTCGGCTGGCCGCTCTCTTCCTGCTCCGAATAGACGTGAGCCCGGGAAATTGTACCCCAGCCCCCTCCTGACCTGCCTGGCACGGACACCTTCTGTACTACGGACCCTCAATCACCGTGTCTGAAGCGGCTTCCTACATCCGACTGGGGTAGAACCTCCCCAGAGACCGGGGTGTTTCGTGCCCCACAGTACTGAACGGGGTATATCTGTGTATCTTACACTCAGATTGGCGCATGGGGGTAACCCAAAATATCACTCATTCGTCCGGACACAGCTCAATGACTGTCTCTCTCGTTCCAGCTGCTCCCAGAGTCTCCATCCCCCGGAAAGCAGGGGCGTTAAACGCAGCGAGTGCCTTCCCCTGCCACGTGCGGGGATTCTACCCCGGGGACGTCACCGTCACGTGGCTGAGAGACGGGCGGGTTCTGACCGACGTCACCCCGTCTGCCCCCCAGAGGAACCCGGACGGGACCTTCAACCTCACCCTGACCTTCACCTTCACCCCCACCGCGAGCGACTCCGGCAGCCTCTTCTCCTGCCGCGTCAGCCACGTGGCTCTGGCTCAGCCCCTGCGGGAGGGGTTCCCCCTGGCGGTCACAGGTGAGGGGGGCTGGGCTCCCAGCTGCGTGTTGTGTGCTGAAGGGTGCAGTGCGTTGAGTCTGACAGGGGACCCCAGCAGAGACCCAGGATGGGGGTGGGGGGTGGGATGCTGGAGCCCCCAGGGCTGAAGGGGCCCAGTACCGTAGTGGGGGCCGGCAGGAGGCCGGAGGAGGGCTCAGGTCTGACTGTGGCTTTATAACACAAATGCCAGGGCAGCCGGCACCCTCTGACCCCCAGCTCCCGCCCTCCCCCACACTCCGCAGCCCCCAGGCTGGGGAGAGAACAAGACTCTAATTCTGCCTGACAAAATACTGACTCGTTGTTGGGACATGGGTACTGTGACACGCTGTACCTTGGGGGAGCATCCTGTAACCCCCATAAAGCAGGCCTGGTGAGGCGTCAGGGGAAAGGTTATGACCTGCTGAAAGTCATTTCTCTACCCATAGATGTGTGTCATGAATGCAGTTATGAGATTGTGTGGTACGGTTGTCACTGAAACATGCTGTAAGTTGGGGAATCAGCCAGATATTAGCTCCCCCTGAGGTAACAACAAGGAAGGTAACCAGCGCCCGGGCGGGTGTCAAACAACCACCAGCAGCCATTGTCCAGCCAGGGAGCTGGGATGCAGTGACTCGCCTGCAGGAGGCCCTGTGAGGATGTCACTCAGCAGGGAGGGGGGGTGTTGACCTGGGACTGTGCCCTGGGGAGGGGAGACCTGAGAGCCTGTCACCTGAGCCAGGAGGGGGAGGGGGAGGTGACACCTCTGCCCGGGAATGTGAACAGAGGCTGCAGGAGGGGGCCTGCTGGGGGGGTTTAGTTTCAGTTTGGGGCTGGGTGGAGGAACGCAGGGAACCCCAGGGCTGGGGTCTGAGCTCCCTGCTCCCCCAGAAGGACTTGACTGAGGGGTCCTGGGTGTACCCACAAGCTCTGTTTTGGACTGTGTTCCTGTGGTGCAATAAACCTTCCGTTTTACTGGCTGGCTGAGAGTCTCAGGGAATCCCAGGAAGAGGGGTGCAGGGCCTGGACTCCCCCACACTCCGTGACAAGGGGGAAGCCACATGCGTCCAGGTGGGAGGGTGGTTGAGACCAACTCCTGCCCTGCGGCTGGAGGTAACACCACATCGGGAAGGGAGGAGGGTGTAATACCTGCCAGGGAGAGAACTGTCCAGGCTGTTAGCTGCCAGCAGGTCGCAGCTGAACCAGAGACAGACCCGGCTCCAGGGAGCAGAGAGCAATGTGGCCCAGAGGAGAGCCCAGAGAAGGGGCAGGGGATCTCAGAAACCACGGAGGTGGGTGAGGATTCCTGTGACTCTGTAACACAGGGAAGCAGGGTGCTTCCAAGTGTGGGAGGGGCTGAGATTAGCTCCTTTCCCTCAGAAGACAACATGCCCTCAGGCGCAGGGGCAGGAGAGGTGTGGCCAGGGATTAAGGAAACTCTACCAGTTGTTAGCTGGCAGAGTTCTGCAGATGAACAAGGGATAGATCCCTTCCTAGGGAGCACAGAGAAATGTGTCTTAGAGGGGGCCCCCCAGGAGGGAACTGGGGAAGAAATAGTGGGGGTACAGGGATGTCTCCTCACTGGTCACTTGGGAGAGGATGCCCAGGACTGAATGGGTGAGTCATCTGATCAGCCCGTGGCCCAGGGTTTGAGAAGGGACTGTCTGTCCGACCTCCTGGAGGGGAGCAGTCACACCGCTGACTTCTCAGGGACAGAGGAAGGGGTGGCAGAGGGTACCCCGATCCCGGTCCCAGCTTTTCAGGATGCTGTGTCTGATACGTTTTTGGAAAGTAATTCAGGTCACCAGTTGCTGGGGTATCCATTCTCCAGGCCATTTGCTGGCCCTCTGTAACCACAAACTCCCTCTCCCACCACCTTGTGTCATGGCGTCCCCGGGCGATGCTCGGGAACTGCTCCCTACGAAGCCAGGCAGGACTCTGGGGGAGCCTCCTCTCTAGGAGCAGCCTGTGAGAGTCCAGGGGAAGCCTACATGCCCCCAAAGGGCCCTGCAGCCCAACTCCGCAGTCAGCCGCGACCCCCAGCCAGCGTGTGACACAGGAGGGTTATTGGTTGTCGGGAGCACAGCATGGAACAGAGCTTGTTAGCACGGACATTAGAAGCATTCGGCAAAGTCCGTCTTGGGGGGATCCAGAGCCCAGGGCTGTGGGCTTCCCCCCACACCCCCGAGTCCCACACCAGGAGACTGACCACCTTCCAGCAGCCCAGCCTCCGTCATGCCCAGCTGCCCTGCCTCCGGGCTTTGTCTCTTTCCTGGGCAAACCGGTCACCTGCTCTCTTTGTTCTCCAACCCCTCCGGCTGGCTCCTTGCAGAGGATGGGCCCAGCCATCAGTTGCCAGGATACAGGGTGTCGGATGTTCTCTGTGCCCAGGCTGCCAGTCGCAGTCACACCTGCCCGCTCGGGGTCTCTGCAGCGATCACACACCCTTGTCCCACCACCTAGATACTTGAGTAACACGCAGGGGAAACTGAGGCGCACGCCGCATTCTGACAAAACATTAAGAACATTCATCAGAGACGCGCACCGCTGACACAAGGCGCGTAGCATGCACGTGCAAAAGCAACGTAACGACTGTGTTAGCTGTACGTGGATGTAATTTAGGTCAAGTTAATTGTATAGTGTAGACTTGCCCTCAGAACATATCTGACAGCCCCGCAGGCAAGTAACCAAACCGTCCTGTGAGCCACAGAGCCCAGCAAATCTCCGCGGCCCTGTGGGGTTACACCCCCTGTGGAGGCTGGTGTCACCTGGGTTTCCGCTTGCTGTTCCTGTCCCTTGGTCTGTCTGTCCCAGGCCAGGGCTCCTGTGTCTCCAAAGGCCAGTTCTTATCCCCGCCTCCTGTCCCCTGGGTCCATTGTCCTCCCGCAGAGCCCTGCTGGGTTCACCCGCTCTGCCTGCTGGAATTGCCCGGGGGCAGGTGTCAGCTGTTCAGTCCTCAGGGCTCCCTTTGTCTTTGTGGACCCACCGGTTTCAGCCAGTCGTGTAATGACCCATTCATTTCTCCCCGCCACCCCTCCAGCCAGTTATGTGACACAAACACCTCAGGTCTCCTGCTTTGCCCCTGGAGCAGCTTTTTACCCAGCTGTGCCCACTGGGTAACAGTGCAAAGTACCCAGGGAAACTGAGGCACACATTGGACTCATAAATATAGTACAGAAAATTCCCACTTCGGCACAGAGGCACAAACGATCAGAGCTGATTAACTAGGGAATAACCTGACATAGGCCTGGCCAGAGTTTCCCAAAGCTCAGGTCAGATCCACACTCCGGGACGGCAGCTCCTGAGACCTTCACTGAAACTTCGTTCCCACCCTGCTGTCTCCCGGCAGCCGCTGCCTGGCGGGAGCCCCAGGACTTTTCTACAGCAGAATTGCCCATCCCGCCCCACGTCCTGCTGGGCTCTGGGGTGCTGCTGCTGGGCAGCCAGCTGCTGTCGGGGGCGAGAGACCTGGAGTATCCAGCAGCTCCCTGGCGTTTGTGGGGCAGAGCCAGCAGCAGGCGGGGAGCAGAGGGGAGCTGTCGATCCCAGACTGATCACTGTGGAGAAGGAGCTACGGGGCAGGAACAGCTCCCTGCCGATCTCCTACAGGGCAGGATCGGTCGGGGGCCGCACAAATGTGTCCTTGGCCCAGCCAGGCCAACGGGCCTTTCGCTCCTGCAGGATCCCAGGGAGCTCAGACCGACCGGGGCAGTTTGACTCTCGGTGCATCAGATTCCAACTCTCCCTCTCTCCCTTATTTCCAGCCACTCCGAGGATCTCCGTCCCGCAGCGATCGGGAACGATCTTTAGAGCGAGCTCCTTCCCCTGCCACGTGTGGGGATTCTACCCCAGGGACATCGCCGTCGCCTGGCTGAGAGACGGGCGGGTTCGGACTGAATCCACATATTCTACCCCCGAGGGGAACCCGGACGGGACCTTTCACCTCACCCTGACCTACACCTTCACCCCCACGGCTTGGGACAGAGGCAGCATCTTAACCTGCCGCGTCACCCACTCGGCTCTGGCTCAGCCCCTGCGGGAGGAATTCGCCCTGACTTTCTCATGTAAGCCTCTGTCCAGGGGAAGGGTTTCCTTGGGGACCCCTCACCTCTGATCAGTCACTGTTCAGGGGAGACGCTTCCCTCGTCACACTGCAGGAGATGGGGAGATGCTGGAGCCCTCGGGGCTGATGCAGTGGGGCCAGTATCTGGGGGCTTGAGCTCTCAGGGCTCTAAGGGGCTGGTACAGTGGGGCCAGTATCGGGCGGCTGGGTCCCTCAGGGCTGGGGGGCTGGTACAGCAGGGTCAGTATCGGGGGGCTGGAGCCCTCTGCGCTACAGGGGACCAGTGGCAGTAGGAACTTTAGTGGAGTGAAGGGGAATTTTGTCTCCCCTCCCCACTTTTACTGGGGGAGGGGGCTCTGCAGTTACATCACAGCCATGCACACTGGCCAGTGGTTGGGGCCCCAGGGGTGGGACCACGCATAGGGGCCAGGTCTCGTGGTGAAGGGGGGTCAGGCCCACCTCAGCCCCCCAGGAAGTGGCTGGTGCCGCTGAGAGGGGCTGCGCTTTGAGGTGAGGGAGATTTATCAGCTCCCGCGGCCGGCTCCGCTCTGCTCCTGCCCGAGGCTTGCAGGGTGGGGGGACAGCACGGCCCCCGCCCCCAAATTACTGCCATGTTAAACAGTGCACAGGCCATGCCCCCTCCTGGCGCTGAAGCTGGTAACGCAGCCTGACGCTCGCTCTCTCATGGCACAGGGTTGACAGGTGACATCGTCGTACTTGTCTCAGGGATGCTCCTCCTCTTCGCTTTCCTATTGCTGTTCGCATACTGGGTCTCTCAAGGGAAGACCTACCAGACAGGTAACAGACGTCAGTCCCATTGTCACGGGCGGGCTACGTGGCCTCAGAGTTAGCTCAGAGTCTGGGTAGGGTTGAGGTGACAGAGACAAAGCGTGGGGTCACTCCCAGGGGCTATGGGGCACTGAAGTGGCCTGTCGGGGGCTGGAGTGCCCTGTAAGGTGGGAAACTGAGGCACACGTCCACCCAATTTAGGCTTAATCAATTTTTCACCTTTATAGATTTTCAGACAGAATCGTTATTTTTCGTTTCTGACCACATGCATCTGGTAGATAAACTAGATCAGACGGAACGGGTAGGGGCCCAAGTACCAAGTGCCGGGGCACCGGGAAGCTCTCCACTGCCTGAAGGTCGTCTCAGTCTCTGGAGCGTGTTCTCCAGTTTATGTCCGTGCTCACTTGTCTTTTTGTTCCTTTCCAGTTATGACGTTCCCTTCTGTTGCTATCCGGACCAGTGATCTCTAGGTTACTCCAATCCTTGACCCTGGGAGCCAGCCTTAACCTGCTCTGCTGTGAGGACCCCCACTCCTGGGCTGGTCACGCTCAGCCTCTGGCTTGTCAGCTGCTCCTTGGATGGTGCAACCGAATGACGCTAGTCAATATCTCCGGCCCCAGACACAACCCTGGGAACCTCCGTCTTGCAGTGTCCCGTTATGCCCGCTGGACGCTGCCAGCTGGGACAAAGTCCCGAGCCTGTATTGGTGGGTCCCGCGCTCCTGGGCGGATTCAGTGGCCTCAGAAACTCGATAAGGCCCCAAGGTGACCTCCCTTTCTCAGTGTAGCGGCCAGCGTCATAGCCTCCGGAGTTACTTTCATCACCGGGCAGTATGGGAGATGGGAAGGGGGATTACCCCACAGTCTCTGGTACTCCCTAGAGCTCAGTAGGTGCAATTCGGCCTCCTGCCTGGACCGAGTCCTGCTTCCCTTCTCCAGGGGATCTCTGTAGAGTATGGGGGGAGTTTGGTCTGTGCTCACATTGCTAAGGCAATTGGTTGGTATATTATTCTCAAGCCTCCCCAGGAAAGGGGGTGAAAGGGCTTGCGGGGATATTTTGGGGTGGGATAGGGCTCCAAGTGGCCTCTCCCTGAATGTTTGTGTAAATCACTTGGTGGTGGCAGCAATGGACCGTCCAAGGACAAGAAGGGATTTGTGTTTTGGGGAAGTTTTTAACCTAAGCTGGTAGCAATAAGCCTAGGGGGTCTTTCATGCAGGTCCCCACATCTGTACCCCAGAGTGGGCAGGGAACCCTGACAGGGGTGCTGGGTGTTCCCCCGAGGTACAGAGTATCACACTAGTTACACCTTGACCCAAACTGTCACCGGCTGGTTTTCTCTCTCCAGTCTGGGCTAGTCGAAGTCATTACCCTTACATCAGCGTTTGCTTGTACCATTCCACAGACACCACCCGAAACCATCCACATTAAACGAACAAAGCCCAGTCGATAGTTATCCCATTCAGCATCTTTCAGTACCACGCTTCAGTACATATGGAACATCCCAAATTATTCATTGGCGTCACCTTTACTAACTAAGGGGGGAGCATCTTGTAACCCCCGTATTCCTCAGCTGTATATAATGGTGATATTGCATATAAAGCAGGATGTGACAAAGTGGGACTGTTCTTAATGTTTCCTCTGAATAGTGTGGGGGTGCCTCAGTTTCCCCTAGGCAGTTCTTAAGTCTCTAGGGGGTGGGGTAAGGGTGTATGATCATTGCAGAGCCCTAGAGGGCAGGGTGTGGCAGGGGTCTGGACACAGAGAATGGCCGACACCCTGTTTCCTGGCAACTGATGGCCTGGGCCCTTCCCCCCTGCAAGGTGAGAGCTAAAGGGTAGGAGAACAAAGGAATCAGGTGACCTCCTGGCCCAGGAAAGGGACAAAGCCCAGGGGAGGAGGGGCTGGGGGAAGTTTCAGTTTGGGGCTGGCTGAGACATGGAGTGAAGTGCAGACGTGGTTGTCTGCTCACTGCCCCCAAAATGGACCCAGCTGAGGGGTCCTGTTCTCTGCACCTACAAGCTCTGTGTTAGACCATGTTCCTGTCGTCTAATAAACCTTCTGTTTTACTGGCTGGCTGGCTGAGAGTCACGTCTGACTGTGGAGTTGGGGGGGCAGGACCCTCTGGCCCCCCCAGGACCCGGCCTGGGTGGACTCACTGTGGGAAGTGCACGGAGGGGCAGAGGAGGCTGAAGGCTCCGAGGTCAGACCCAGGAAGGTGGAGCTGGGTGAGCTGTGTGTCCTGCAAACAGGCTGCTCCCAGAGAGGAGACTTCCCCAGAGTCCTGACTGGCTTCATGGGAAGCAGTTCCAGAGCATCGCCCAGGGACTCCGTGACAATGTGAGGTATCAGGGGAAAGGTTATGATCTGCTGAAAGTCATTTCTCTATCCATAGATGTGTATCATTAATGCATATGAAGTTATGAGATTGTGTGGTATGGTTGTCACTAAAACATACTGTAAGTTGGGGAATCAGCCAGATATTAGCTCCCCCGAGGCAACAGCAAGGAAAGTAACCAGCATCCAGGCTGGGTGTCAATCAACCCATCAGCAGCCATTGTCCAGCAAGGGAGCTACAATGCAATGACTCACCTGCATGAGGCCACACCAGAGGAATTGCTCAACCTGGCCTGGAGACTCAGCAATGCCCCCAGACATGCCTGGACTTGTGCTCTCCAAGCACGTGGGGCTGAGGGTATAAAACAGACACAGGGGCCCCATGCTGGGCCTTCCTCCTTCCCCCACCTACGCTGCAAGCAACAAGCACACTCTGAAGACTCCAACTGAGGGGACTGGCCCAGATTTCAAGGGTGAAATCTGTGTACTAGGATCCGCAATATCCAGTGGGGTGAGAAAAACTCCTTAATCTAGATGTTGGGCAGTCTAATCGGGTTGAGAGTTTAGGCTGCGTGCTGATATTTTATTTGATTTTGGTAACGAACTCTGACTTTTTGCCTCTCATTTAATATCACTTAAAATCTATCTTTTGTAGTCAAAAAAATTGTTTAATGGTTTATCCTTACCAGTGAGTTTGTACAAAGTGTGTGGTAAATCTGCTCAGGTTTGCAAAGGCTGGTGTACATCCACTTTCCACTGATAAAGTGGGGAACCAATTAATAAATCTGCATTGCTTGTCTTGAGCAGTGCAAGACGGCATATTCCTGAGGTACAAGTCTGGGAGCTGGGGGGATTTGGCTGGTGCCTTTCTCGGTGTGATTCATGAGTGGCTCTGGGAGCTTTCACGCAATCCAGCTGGGCGTTGGGACTCCACATGCGGTTGTGCTGAGTGATCACTGGAGGGGTTTGCGGCTGGTCACTAGCAGGGCATTGTGAGAGACAGCCCAGACTGGAGAGAGATCAGGGGGCACACTGGTCCCACAGTCCCGGGCTGCATCCCGGGGATCCCGTCACTTACCCCAGGAACTGTGTACAACAGACACCTCTCCGAGACAGCACTACGCAATGGGAACTGTCTGACCCAGGTCACAGCAAAAGAGCTTTCCAGCAAGTGGGGAGAAGATAGAAAAGGGGGAAATGACATCATGTGTCATCCTCCCTCTCTCTACAACACCACACCTGGAAACCCCTGAGGGGCAAGGACTGAATGGGGGGAATTGATGGTCCCAGGCTAAAGGGATTTCTAGTCTGTGTATGAAAACCTGGAAAACGAAGGCAGCTTGTGCCTTAAGAATCTGCCAGCCTGTTTATCACTCAGGGTGAGAATTTGCTAATTTATATCCTACCTCTCTAGTGTGTTCAGCTCAGTTTGCAGTTTTATTTATTTGCTAGATAATCTGCTTTGAGCTGTTTGCTACCACTTATAATCACTTAAAATCTATCCTTTTGTAGTTAATACACTTATTTTATGTTTTAAGCCACACCAGTGTGCGTTTGACTAAGGTGTCTGGGGAAAATCTCAGCTTGGTTACCACAAGTGTGCATGGTTCTCGTCCCATTGAGGGTGAGGCGGACTGGGTGTTAAACCCATGTACTGGCCAGATTTGACCAGGGCAGGACGGTCCTGCTCTGGGGTCCTAGGCTGTGTCAAAGTTTGACTCAGACTCACAATTTATCAGACCACTCTGTTTTATTAGCAAAGCTGCTCTGCTAATACATTTAGAAGTGAGCCCCCAGAGTGGGGCTTGTGTCTCTTAATTTATACAGCTTGCTGGAGAACAAGTTACAGAGAAGTTACAGACAAAAGAAGAAAAAGATTTTAGTCACCACCCTTCGAGATCCCTGAGACCAGTCAAGTATCTTCAATTACCTGCCACCCTTAACAATCTCCTTTATCAGCTTCCAGTTAACTTAACTAATTGCCCTTCACCCCTTCCATTCTGATGCCTGCTTCTTAGACGTGCTGGCTCTATCTTAATTACTTCTCCATTCAAAAGCTAACTGTCCCTAGGTGTGCTCCCTCAGATACTTTGTAACATGTTTTGGCATGCCCTCTCATATACAATGTATCCAGCATGTCCCCTTATACAACGCTATACTTATACAATGTTATACTTCCACAGCTGGGAGGCTGCGTGTGGCTGCAGCTGGATGTGTCCCGACCTGTGTGAATGCTGGTGAAAGTGCGGCTGGGGGGCTTTGCAGCTTGTCACAGCAGCACAGTGTGAGAGGGAGCCCAGGCTGGTGGTCAGGGGGCTCTGTGGTACCCCAGTTCCAGGTCGCTCCCCGGGGGAAAACTCGTCACAGTGGGAAAAGGTTATTTACTCTCTGCAGAGACCCAGCTGTAAAGATGTGATTGACGCCAGCTGGCTGGGGCCTGGGCCCCCATGTCCATGGAGAGTCTGAGAAGACAATGACCACACCATTTACCTGGACATTTGGTACCTAGCAACTAATGACCATGGATGGCGCAGCTCACTGCAGGAAGCCAGCCGGGTTTGACTAGCTGGAGAACAAAGGACTGAGGAGGGGCGGGCACGGGGGGGGGGGTAGTTAATTGTGGGCTGCTGGAAGATGGAGATTCTCCTGAACAGGGACAAAGGAGGGGTCAGGGGGCGCTGGGCTGACCAAGATGGACCCTGCTGTAACTTTCTGTTCTCTGTGCTAACCAAGAACTTTCTGCGCGGTGTCCCAGACAGCTAATAAACCCAGCTGCTCTCACAGTCCTGTGGGGGTGTCCCTGCAGCTGCTGGGGGTGGGTGCGGTGCTCCCGTGGGGGCACAGGTCTCCCCCAGGTGCCCTCACTGCCGGGAGCTCGCCGTGTGAAGCGGCGACTGAAGGCTCGGAGGTTCGCTCCCAGGAGGTGTGAAGCCCAGGGGCCGACCCTAGTGACAGAGTGAGACCCCAAGGGAGGCGGGCGCACGGAGGGGGTCCAGCCAGGGACTGCTCCAGGACACCAGACCTATGGACAGCAGGGGGACTGGAACAGTGCGTATGGGGGGGGGCTGAGAGCAGTAAACCCTGCATATGATGGAAAGGCACTTCAAGCCAGGGGGTGCGGTAGCAGCCCCAGCACCCCCCGTTCCAGCACCGATGGTGGACAGGAGCACTGGGAGCTCCCCAGAAGTGGGTGGGCCTGCCCCCCACTCTGCCTCAAGGCCCCGCCCACCGCTCTGCCTCGTCCCCCCAGGCTCCGCCCTCACTCCACCCTCGCTCCGCCTCTTCCCCCGAACCCGTGCCCGCTGCTCGCGCCTCTCTGCCCCCTCCCCCTGTCGCTCATCCTTAAGGCTGGACTACAGTGATGGGGCCATGGTCCTCTGGGCCCCCCTTCCAGCGTCCCTCCCCGCGGATCCGTGACACTCTGCTCTAAAGTTTAGTGAGGAGCCGTGGGCGAGGCCTCAGCGTGGCTGCATCAGATTCCGAGCAAAAGATCAAAGACCTAAAGCCGGAATCTGGACGTGCTTCGATGCCCAGGTTCCCAGGAGTGTCAGTTCTTGGCCTGTGTGAGCAAGCGGGGATTTCCCCTTGTTATGTTGTATGTGAGCCTATGTGAGTTTTACTGTTTTGCATGAAGGCTGTGTGTGCCTCAGTTTCCCTGAGTATTGCACCAATGTCTAGGTGGTGGGAATAAGGGGGTGTGACTTTTACGGAGGCTGCTCCAGCTGCCTGCAGGGATGCTATGGCCGCCCCTTCGTAACCTGAGACCCAGGAGGGGGATGCAATCAGGTGACTCTGGCCCAGGAAGCGAGACAAAGGCCAGAGGAGGAGCAAGGGGCAGGGCAGGGGCCAGTCAGCTGGAAGGAGTCAGTCTCGGCTGGCTTGGGGCACAGGGCGGGACCAGAGCCCTGGCTCTGCGTTCCCCTCCCCGCAAGATGGACTTGGCTGAAAGTCACTGATTTCTGTGCTAACAAGCTCTGCCTTACGCTGTGTTCCTGTCGTCTAATAAACTTTCTGTTTTACCGGTGGCTGAGAGTCGCGTCTGACTGCAGAGTTGTGGGGTGCAGGACACCCTGGCTTCCCCAGGACCCGGCCTGGGCGGACTCGCTGTGGGAAGCGCACGGAGGGGCAGAGGAGGCTGAAGGCGTCGAGGTCAGACCCAGGAAGGTCAAAGCTGTGGAAGCTTCTTGCCCTGGCGACAGTCTGCTCAGAGAGAGGAGGCTCCCCCAGAGTCCTGCCTGGCTTCATAGGGAGCAGTTCCAGAGCATCGCCCGGGGACCCCGTGGCAACTGGTGGTAGCGGTGGGATGTACTGCACCCCGTGGACAGAGCATCCTGCAGTAAATGACTGGGGAGCAGTAAAATGAAGGGGGATTAGCGAGAGACAGGAGTGCTGAAGGCTCCGAGAGGTGCGGTTCCAGGAGGTGGAGGGGCTTATCCCCTGAGAGAGAGTGGACCCCCAAGAAGGGCTGTCACACTGAAGGGGGTTCTCCTCAGGGACCATACGCGGCCAAGAATGAGTCCGTGACACAGGACAAAGGGGGCTGCCAGTCATGAGAAAACCCCTCGTTAACACCTGAGATGGCTGCTGGATCTAACAAAGACTGTACCGGGGAAAGGATTGGGCCCAGACAAGGAAGGAGTCTAGTCTGTGAAAGAAGCTTACTGGAACATCTCTGAGGGTGAGATTTATCTGTAATCAGTTTCTTAATGTATTGGGCTTAGACTTGAGTGTTTTGTTTTATTTTGCTTTTTGACTTACTTTGTTCTGGCTGTTATTACTTGAAACCACTTCAATCCTACTTTTTATAATTTTTTAATACCTGGGGGAGCAAACAGCTGTGCATCTCTCTCTATCAGTGATATAGAGGGTGGACAATTTCTGAGTTTACCCTGTATAAGCTTTATACAGAGTAAAACGGATTGATTTGGGGTTTGGGTCCTATTGGGAGCTGGGTGTCTGGGTGCTGGAGACAGGTGACCTGCTGAGTGGTTTTCCGTGAAGTCTGCAGCTTTGGGGGCATAGTTCAGACCCTGGATCTGTGTTTGCAGCAGACTGGCATGTCTGACTCAACAAGGCAGGGTTCTGGAGTCCCAAGCTGGCAGGGAAAACGGGCTCAGAGGTTATTTTGGCATGTCAGGTGACAGTCCCAAGCGGGGCTCTGTGACTGAACCCGTCACAGGGTGACCCCACGGAGACTCCCACGTTCTCCCTGGCCTGTTCTGTCCACGCCTCCTGTCTGTCAAGCCCCCTCCCAGCCAGGTAAGGGGCAGCAGCTCCCCCCACAGTGGGCACAGGGGGCCATCGCTCTCTGAGGGCTCCTGCAGACACCACTGCCTGGGGCAGAGTGCAAAGGGGGGGGTGCAGCCCCTGGCCCAGTGCACCCTGGGTTTGGTGGAGAGGGAGAAGTGCATTCGGGGAGCTCCCTCCCCAGTCCCTGGGGAGCAGACAGGGTGTCCCCTGAGGCCCAGTGCGGTCAGCCTGGCCCGGGACCCCCACAGTCAAGGGGACATGAGGGTAACCGGAGACACCCCCGTCTCCGTGGGGTGTGCAGCATTTCCTCCCTCTTGCGCTGCAGGGCTAAGCACATGCTGGTGGCCCGGGCACCGCTGAGGTATGTGTTGGCTACAGGGCGACGGTACGTCCCAATTTGGCCAGGACAGTCCCTTTTGTAAGCCCTGTCTCGGTTGGCCTGACTTTTGGCAGAAGGAGGCAGTTGTCCTGTTTGCTCTGGCCGACTTGCTCAGTTGGGACAAATGCCCAGTTTTGTCAAAAAAAGTGGGGTACGGAGGAACCCGGGGGGAGGGGGCGAGCAGCGATGC